AGTTAGTTGGTTATGTATTTTTTAAATAAAAAAAAAATTTTGAATTTACTTACTTGTAGCCAGAGTTAGAGGCGGTCAGATACTTATGACCGCTACTGTAGTTAGATATATACGAAATGCTGGTGTTGTATCATTCTTATAATCCTACCTTTCGTAATCCTTTTGATTGCTGAGGATGAGACACAAAATGCTGAATTAATTCAGGCTATATAACATTCATACTCTTTTTTTGTGTATTCTCCTGAACCTTTCTGCCTTCTTGATCTCTTTCTTGCCTATTGGCGGTAATACACTAAAGCATAACTTCTTATTTTCTTCCTATATATTATTCTACTTTAATGTACTACTAAATTTATACCTTAGTTTTCGCCCAAGCCTTCCTAGAATTCTTTCTTGTATAATTACTATTTTGGGTATCCCTATATATAATTACTTTAGGTTATTATTATATTGATTACTTTTGGGTACTACTTCATCATTTACTTGCTTTCAGCTTAACGCTGGATACTACTACTGACCCAGTGTTTTGTTAGCATGCATATTTGTCCAAAATTTTTATTTTAAACTTTGCAAGTTTCTATGTAATTTTATACTAGTTTCTTGCATATACATTATGCTTCTTGCGCAAAAAAATTCTGGGCCTCACCTACTTGTTTGTTCTGAACTGCTTGAATTAATTTTTAGTAAACTCAAGATTAAAGATATACTATATTCCTGTCTTACTGTGAATCATCAATGAAATTTTGAAGCATTTTAAGTTATTTTAAAGCAAAAAGAAAGGGAACTTTGTGAAGATTTTGATTTTATAAAATATCAGTTAGATTGGAGTAAACAAGAAATAACTCATATTCATACAGTTCTTTATACTCTGTATTATGATTGGATTATAGCAGGAAAAGAAATTGCAAATGTTTATGCAGTAATCAAATCTTATATAAATAATCTTACAAGAATTTTTCCCTGTCTTATTAAGTCTTCTGTTTTACGAAATAAATTTCATGTACAATGACAAAATCTTTATAAACAGACGAAAAAATTATTAAAAGATATCGATCTACTTGATGATATCAATAATACATAAAAAGAGTGAATATATAGACAAAATTATTAAGTTGTATTGTCAAGTACCCTTAGCCAAAATTGTCACTTCCTGCTAAAAATACTGATAATACTTATTTTTTACTTATGCAATAGTAGTAATCAAGTTTAATTTTACTTTCCTAGATTTGCATATATTCAGATTAATTCTTCTAACTAAACTAGTCTGGAGCTAGTGATACTACTGCAAATTTCTGTATATGATATTTTATTGCACCTATAAAATGCAAGATAAAATTAACACTAAAGCTTTAGCATATACCCAGAGACGTGAAGAAAAATGCAAAGTTAGTCCTAATACATATTTATGGTCATGTAAAAAGGGTCATCAATCGAAGGCATCATATAAAAATATAAAACAGAATTATAGATAGTACAAAATTTGTCCTAATATACTGGAAAGAACATGCTGGTATATTTTCGAAGATTTATTAAATAAAAAATTTCCACTCTGAAAGCCTAAATTCTTAGAGAGATTGCATTTAGATAATTATAATAAAGAATTAGACTTGACCTTTAAATATAGCGATAACCAATATTATTAAATCATCCCTTTTTTTATCTACAAGGGCAGATAAATCTAAATGCACAAATCTGACGTAATTAGAAAAAGAGGACGCTATGCTACAGGGAAGAAGTAATTCTTATAACTATATCCTACTACATAGTAGACTTAGAAACTTTTATAAAGAGTGCCTTGTACACATTTGGTTATATCCTAATACCCACCTAGAAGGTAACATAGGTTCTTTCTTAATATGCATTAACTGTTCTCTTACGAAGGGTCGTTGAGGCCCTGATTCATCTAAATAATATAAAATAGGTATTGGAGAATTCTTTCTAATAATAATTTTCTGAATCTTATGCAGGCTAGGAGACCATATTAGATCTGTTATTCTGCATTGTTCAAAAGGATCATTTTTTCACTCTTCAGAAGTGAGCAAAAATCAGATAGTAATACTCTTTAGTAGTTGTAGTTCATCAACACCTATTGAGCGATTATATTTTACTGATAGTTTAGAATATATCCGTTCAAGTTTTATGGCGTCATTAGGACTCATTCTAATCAATCAAGTTAGACTATCATTTATATTATCAACAATTTTTCTTGCAAACTGCTCACATTCTCTACAGTGCTTACCAGTAGATAGAAGAAACTCTATTGAATACTAATTTTTAAAACTCTACAGAGGGTAATCAAAATTATCCAGCCACTATTTAAAACATAAAAACTTTATATGTATTATATATTAAAATTAAAATTTAAAATAAATATATTTATCTTATTTTTATTTATTAATTTTTACATAAAAAAATTAAATTATTAATAATTAATACTATTTCTATTTGTAGCAATAACTGCCTCAATTCTCTGAGGTATACTTTTGATCAATATTCTGGTGGAAGATCCTTTTACGCATTTTTGACATACTTTTCAAGTTTTTGGATGTTAGATGGTGGTGGGATACGACAATGAACTATTACTTTCATTTTCATTCAGAGATTCTTGATCAAGTTCAGATTGGGACTTTGTGCAGGCCAATCCATTTTCACAATTTTAGCATTTTCGCGGACAGAAACAGCAACTTTTGAACAATGTAGTGAAGCATTATTCTCCTAAAAAATTCCATTACCTTGTGAAAAATACTTATTCAAGGTAGATACAACATATTTATTAATAACCTTAGCATGTGTTTGACTAGTAACTGAGCTTTTTAATAGAATAATTGGTCTAAGCCTATGTCAAGAAAAGCACCTCCAAAACATTCTACTAGGACTATGTTTTACAGTAATTGCAATACAGTCTGAGTTTAATTCTTCTCTAAGTTCACGCCATATCTTTTCTTGACGACCTTGTTGAAATTGTGTAAAAGTATTTTCATCTGAAAAAAATACTCTTTTCCTTTTTTTTCTTTCTAATTTTTATGTGCATGAGCCCATTCGAGATGAGTCTGATGATATACTTCTGTCATTGTGGATTTTTTACGAGGTATACAATATATAAGCCTAATTTTCTTAAGATTTTAGCGTATAGTAACAGCAGAAATAGGCTGTTTTATATAAGCTGTTCAAACTGTTAGCTTTTTTGAACAAAGTCGACAATTTTCACCATTTTCTTGAACAAAGGCTTTAAGTTCTTATTGGGTTGGTGAATTAAGAAGTGGTAGATGGCCAGTTTGTTTTTTTGGAGTTAAAGAATATGTTTCATGAAGGCGTTTAAGAATATCATTAATAGTTATTTTCTTACACGCCAACCATTTAGCTATTATGCAACTTGATTGTTTACAATTATGGCTATAAACGATTGCGCTATGAGTTTTTGGGTAAGTGGCTTCATATTTCCAAAAATTTCTGAAAAAAAATGAAGTGCGAGGGTTTGTTTATTGTAATAGTAAGTGCAAAATTATGTATTATTTATATTATATTAATATATGATGATTAGTATAATTTTAGCCAAACAAACTGGCCAGATAATTTTGATTGCCCTCTGTATATTCAAATAATCTAGTATAACAATTGATCATTGCAAAACTTGTATGTCTAAAATGTGCTATAATTCTTCAAATTTCAATGCTATGTTCATCCATTAATAAAGTCACGTATCCCATAAACTCAGTACCCTTATCACATTGCATTTTTTGAGACCAGTTAAGAGGTTTATCAGGATTATCATATATACTTTTAAATGCTTCCACAACTTCCTCACTATTCTTTAATGTTAAAAAAATGAAATCTTTATATCTAGTCGTGCAGTCTATAACCAATAGTATATAGTAATATATTGGGCTATCATCTAGTAAATTTGTATCTACATCTTCATCATATAGTATTTCGATTAAATCACATTAGTACACAATATTTGACTTCGTGATTTTAAAGTAACTGGCATAAGGTATATACTTTGGTGAAGGACGAAAATTTGATATATTGCTTAGCCCTTAAGCCATTTTTTTACATCAATAAATGGAAAGCTATAGCCAGCTTTTTTATAAGCATCACACAATCCCTTAACATTTTGATACAGATCTTTAGGATGATAATATAGTTTTGCAAGACAAGATGCTGATTTAAATTATGAGCTTTTTGAAGATTGATATTAATTGTAGGTATTTGTTTTGCTATGATTTAGTCTAGCTCTCGCATTTTTGAGGATCAATATAAATAACCGATTCTTCCATTCCAATTTTTTTATAATTATGAAAAAAGTTAGTATCTATGAAGTTAAATTCTAATCATTAGCTGAGATGCTTTTTTTCCTTGTGGTTAACAAAATATGTTCCTTGAATAATTATCCTACTTTTCAAAATACTATGGAGTATTACGAACTATATAAATTAGATGAAATTATACTTTTAAAAAAACAGAATCTATTCGCTTCTAAACTTCCATTTAAATTAGGAGTTGCGGGTATCTCTGAGTCTGGAAAGACATGTATGGTAATACATCTGCTTCTAGAAAGTAAATATCCAAAAATCTATCTATAGATGTCTGGTGAAAAGTGTGATTATAAAATACCAAAAGGTGGGAGCAAAAATTTTGGCAAAAGGTATATTCTGTGTGATAATTTAATTGTTGTCATGCAATATCAAGATGAAGAATTATGGAAAGCAGTACAATATTTTTATAAATTTATAGCCAGGGATAAGTAAGCTCCATGGTATGAAAATATGAGATTCAAGCTAATCACGCTTGAAGAATTATCTAATATTGCATCTTTCAAAAGAACTGATCGATTTACTATTATAGTCTTTGATGATCTTAACAGGAAACCTTTGGCAACTCAGCTAAAAATTGTTCCTTTTTTTAGATCAGACAGACATGATGGAATTAGCTCAATTTATATAGCCTAATATTTTTATGAAATTTATTTAAATATACGCGCAAATCTTAAATATATTTTATTGCATCGTGGATGTGAAACATTAGATAGTATAAAGCGAATTCTTAAAGATATATATGATGATTATGAGTCTCTAGCAAAAAAAATTTATGAGGTAATAAAAAACACTTTGTGGTTATTGATATCTGAAGATCATCTGATGATCCCTTATAAATTAGATTTAGATAGGACAAACCTTTGAAAGATAGCTGAATTTAGAATGATTCATGCTTTGTGACTTCATTCATATCCAAAAGATGAAATTTCATAGGAGGTAATCCTGCCTTTTAGTTCTTCTACGTATTGAATTGGGAATGCATAACTTTGATTCTATTTAAGGGTATTTTATAGTTCAGAATATATTTTCTTTATTGTAAGATGAATATAGATGAGAGAATATGTACTATAAGATGTATATGATTAGTAATACTATTATGAAGATGATTACATGCTGAAAAAATAAGGAATAAGGTGATATTGAGGTTGTTTCAGGATTAGTGATTTTATTACCTTTCTCCAGTCCTTTAACATCTTCAAGTACTTCAAACTTGCTGGATATTTTTGAGATCTACTCGGCTAAACAATCATTAGTTTCTTGAAGGAGGATCTCTTTATCTGATAATGTTTTTTATACTGAGAACAAATTATCTCTCATCTGCATTAATTCTTCTTTATTATTCATCAATTCTATTCATATTGAGGTTAATTCATCCCTCAACCATATTAATTCACCTTTTTTTTGCTTAATTCATCTTTCTTCAGATCTAAGTTAACATTCTTTAGCTCAACGTTTTGCCTTGACTGCATTAACTCTTGTCTAAGAGAATCCATTTCTAATAAGTCTTTCTAGGCTAAAAAATACTTCATTTCTAACTCTTTTATTTCCAATTGGAGAGCTTGTATCTCTTTCAATTTTGTAAAGATCACATTCTTAGCTTTTGTAAAAGAAATATCTTTATGGATGATCTGATTTTTGAGTTCTCTCACCTCATCTTCAAGTTTATTGCTGGATATAAAGGATGTCTTATTATTTATCTTATTTAGCGTATGCATATTTGCTATATGAATTTATTTAAAAGCAAAAAATCTCTCTAAAATATTTTTTGGCACATCTAGATATAATAGTTAGCCAAGGTAATTATTTTTTTTACCTGAAAAGAAGCAAGAGTTAGAAATTAATATTAAACCAATAATAAACTAATATTCAACTAGTTTAAAATAAATATGATATTTGAAGCATATATATCTTAAACTGATTTCTATTTGGATCAAGAGTAAATTATGCTAGATGGCTAAGAAATTGGAATTCTTACACATATAAAACTAATATATTACTGATATCAGATCAAGGTCAAACATATTATGAATAAATTTTCTACAAATTTTTTATTGGTATCATATTGATCTTATTATTAGCAAACTATGAATAAAAAACAAACAGCCTGTACCCGTAAATTTCTTAGATTAGATACCACTTGTTTATCACCTGAATCTATTGAAGAAATCAGAAATACTCAGAATAATATTCCAGATGCTTGACGTATTATGTGTAAAAAATATCATATAGGATCAACAACATATCAAAAAATTATTGATAATAAGAGGCCTCCTGAACTAATAGAAGAATAGCGTAAAATTATAGATTTTGTTAACATTTCTAGCCTGATTTTAGAAGATAATCAAGAATCTTTACAGTCAAAAGACGTAGAGCAAGTTTTCTTAGAACTGCAGTGCAATGCTGATACTTCTTTCTCTTCTACTAATATACTAGAAAATAGGACTATTTATGCAGAAGACGCTAGTCAAAATGGTAAAAATTCTATTAATCTGAACACAGTAACTAATGAGGATTAGTCAGAAAAAAAGATTAATACGAAACCAAAAAGCGAATCTTCTTCAGAAAAAAATGATACATCTAGATGAGAATCAAATCTTAAAAAATTATTAAATATTACAGGAAAAATTATTACGCATCTATTCTTATCTCTGTAAGCTGAAAGTATCTTTTCACTAGAAATTTACCTGTATTTAATGCTAAGTCAATCCATTTTTCAGTTTTCAAGAGACGTTTTTCAAGCTCTTCACACTTTTTTTAAGACCTTCTCATCAGTCAGGCTAGAAGAATCAATGGATGCTTGGTCCTACTCCTCTTTGAGTGGATTTTTAACTTCTGGAGCTTTACTAAAAATTGAGATAATGTAAGCTTTTTCATGTAACTTCATTCAGAATTAATTTTTATTTGGATTGAAGAGTCATACCTAAACATAACATTGGTTCAAATTCTCCATTATCAATATGACAGTTTTACCATTCTTATCCTTTATACTGATTGGTACATTTATAAACTATTCCAATGACTCAGTAATATATTTGGAGTTACCTTTTATTGCGAAGTCAGATAACTTATCAGCTTTCCATCCAAAGGCATTAATTATTGTATCATTTATTTTCTTAAACTTACTCGCATTATCTAAAAAGAATTAGAAATCATTAAATTATCTATTTTAGCATTCAAATATTGTAATGATGAAAACCACTCATCTGATTTTAATTTTTTCTACTGAACTGTATGAGACTGACACATTTTTCACATTGCCGGTAAAAGTTTTGAAAATAATTCATCATATGTTTTTAGCTAACTGGACTCTAGAGATAACTTATCATTTAGTGGTAGTTTTTTTTTTCAGTGTATAATACCATGTATTTTCTACTTTATTATAATTACCACTATTATCTTCATCATTATCAGAATCTGGAGACATATTTTAAAAATTTATAGGTGTGAGAGGCTTAAAATAAGACTGATTAAAATTAGATCATGTTATTTGTCTATTAAGATAACTGCCTTTACTATAACCAGTTTCTCACAAATATTACATTTACGTTTCTTAAATTGATTGGTTAATTGGTTTACTGCATCAAAAGTTTCATCAAATCCTTCTTCAATTTTATCAAATCTAACAGAATTATTATTTCGCTGTAGACGAGATCTTTGAAAAGGTTTTACAGAATAATCTGAGTCTAAATCTTCCTTATTAAGTAGACCTACTTCTTTTAAGTATTTGGCTACATAATAATTCTTGAGATCTTCTTCTATTTTCAATGAAGATGATAGACCTCTTAGCTGTTTAACTAGTTCAACAGATTGTAAAGCGCTTGTTGAGTCATTTGAGATTGTAATTCTGTCTTTCTTTACTAATGCCTGGTTTTCAGTTTTTTGTTATACTAATGTGTCTTGAAATGTTTTTTATATATCTGTCAAGGAAATTCCTTATTATTAAGGAGCTGAAGTAGGCGAGGGTTCATATATTTCTTGAGATACTCAATTAGATGCTAGGGGTCAGGTATTTTATCTCTTTTATGTCTTGCTATTTAGCGTAACTCTATCTCATAAAGCTTTTTAGCTAATTCATTCAATGGCAAATGTTCACTAATATCCTCAGCTTTTTCAAGCCATGGAAGTAGAAGAGCATCTAAGAACTTTCTACATAATTCTTTAGGTCTATAGTTGGCTCGTCTTCCTATTCATAATAATTTTTTATATAATTTATCTATAGTCATATTCCCCTTTCTAATTGTTCCATATATTAAATCCTAAAGCTCTTCTTTCACTATAAAAAAATGTGTTTTTAGCCACCATATGGCTTAACCAAAATGAATATCAATTACAACTACTATAGTACCATTGTTAGCATTTGATGCATTAACAGTAATGTTAGTAGAACAACCACCTACTATGTACCAATCTTCATCTCAGGGATCTTCTACAGTTCTCAACTTGACTATTGCAGTTTCTGGTTGGCCAAAAGTTTTATTCAATGCTTGATTTTCTATTTGACCTGCATTTCGTCCATTTACAACTACTAAGTTAATCTGTCCTGTATTATCAAGTAAGTTCACTAATTCCTAATTCTACTTTGTAATAATCTCTTCGTTAAACTATTCTAAGGCTCTTCTTCTCATACATCCTCTTAAATATTCTATTGCCTGATCTCTTCTTATTACTGGAGCTTCTACATTATCTGCTGGGTCTACACTTTGGTTTTGCAAGTATAATCTAAGTTTTACAAGAAAATCAGGGATATTATCATTCCAGTCAAAAATGGTTGTGGTATTCCTGCTATATTGATTTGATTTAGTGGATTATTCTGTAATACTAAAATTTGTCCTTGCAAATTTAAAATATTCTGCCAAGCATTACAGGTCTTATTTTTCCATTTCTTATATCACTCATAAAGCCTATCCTGATTATATTCTAATAAACCTATATCTCCTCTACTTTGCTATAAGTGATGGGCATTTCGCTGATACAATAATTGTAAGGCAAATTTTTCCTGTACCAGCACATCTATACGGATTTACTTTCTTGCTATATTACCTATCATTCTATTTACCTAGTTTTGAGTATTAGTTTGATATTACTGAAGATCACTAATAATTCTTGCTTCTACTCTTTAGCAAGTTGTCTTCATATAATTTCATTACCACGTTTAGCTTCTGTATTATAGCGCCTCTGTTGCTCTTAAAATATATCCTGTTGCAAATTATTTTCTTTTCAGCGAATTTATCTTGTTGCTCTTTTTATTTGATCTGCTAAGATTTCTCTACCTATTGTTGGATTATCCATATAACTATCTATAGCATTTGCTAATTCTATAATTGTAGCCATATTATCATCAGAATTATACAAGTATAGAGAATTCTCTCATTCAGGTGAATTTTTTTGTGATGAGATGCTTCTGATCTAGTATTGCAATTTCTCAATTTGCTCTTCAAATTTTACTAACTGTTTTTTTAAACTAAAGATAATTTTTTCCTTATCTCGTACATCCTTCTTAACTTGATATAGCTGACTTTTTAGAATAGAAATTTCAGATTTTAATTCTACTATCTTCTCTTCTGAAGCATTTTCAAGACACTCTATTTCACTATTAAGATTTTGAATTTTTTGCTCACATCGGGCATAATCCCATTCTAGTTGATTAATTCGTTTCTCATTCTGGCGATTAGTATCAACTTCTGTCTGTAATTCATTACAAAGATGATAGTTCTCCTCTTTCAGTTCAGCTTTATATTCTTCACATGTTCTTCTCTGTCTTGGATGAGGCCTGTGAAATGACTTTTTTTTCGTGATTATAAAAGAGAATAGGAAAACCTTTGATTTTTATAGATTCTCAAAAAGTGCGTGATCTTAACCAGGATTTTACTTTACAGAAGTACAAGGAAAAAAGTATTCCTAATTAATGAGAAGAATCTGACTTCATGGATACCAGCTTTTTTTCTACCTCCTGCACTTGCATCTTCAGATCCTCATTTTCACATAGCAATTTCTTATTTGCACTAATCTGCTCTCTATATTCCCTTTCTATGTCTTGCATGAATTTTTCGAAAGTTCTTTTATTATAGTCAAGCAGGTGCTGGTGAAACACTTTAAGTTCATTCATAATCTGGCAATTATTCTCTTTCTTGTGATCACAAGTAGTATTATTAATTTAAGTTTCATTATCTGCAATAGCCAATGATGCTGGAAATATATTACATTTTGGTCAGCTTCAAGGGTGCAATAATTTTATCTGAGCCATGCGTTTCCTATTTAACGAATTCTCATAAACTTTTAATTTATGTCTTAGATATGACTCAATTCAACCAGACTTCCCAGAAATCATTTCTAATGAAACAGAGTTTTTAGAGTGATTTAAAAGACCTTGATATGCTTTATTGACCAGGCTATCTGAAAGTCTATCAATAATATGTTTATAGTCAGAGTAGAACATTTTATTATATATAGTTTTGTGCAAAAAAAGTTTGCATGCAAAATTCATCTATAGACTATAGTTTTACATGCCTATATTACGAATTGCGTCATATCTGGTAGGGGATTGGTTAGGTACTATTTGCGTGATCAATGATCACAGAAAATCTTAATAGTTTTTATCACATGATACGGATAGCAAATTTTTATTAATTCGTTCTGTGTTTGCTTATCTTTCAATTTCGCAACTCTGGCCTTAAGCTCAACAATTTTTTCAATGAATCAGTTAATCTGAAATTATCTATTTTAAATTGCATATTTGCATAATGTAGTATTAGTATGTTAATATTCAAAAATAAAAAATCACGTGATTTTGAGCGAACTCAGTTTGCTGAAATTCAAAATTTTTATTATCTGATA